TGTGCTGCCAGTGTCTGGTCAGTGGGTACTTAATTTGTTACAAGCCAGTGGTACATTGTTTTCCAATGTCTGATGATGTTGACCAGAAATAAAGACTAGTGTCTGTGAGCACAGGTTGACATAAGTAAGGATGGAAGGGATGTTTTCATCTTTTGTTCTTCTTACTTTTGGTCTTTTCCACTTTCTTTGATCACTGGTGAACTCTTATTATGGGAAAGCTGGCGCTCTATCACTTGAGTCATAGCTCTACTTCTGGCATTTTGGTGTGGTTCTTTGGAAATGAGAGTCTCACTGAAAAGGGAGATACTCTTAGGAACATAAAGGTGCAATGCCTCTTTGCCTCCGATCATATTAAATAATATTAATCGAAATGAACTCCAGGAAATGGAAAAAAAAAAGTCAGGCTTCGAACTGTAGTCCTCATATCTCACTTTCCTGAGTTTATAGGCATGAGCCACCAGCATCCAGCAAGAGCCACATTTTAAAGGTAGGGTTAGGGATGTGGGAGTGGTCTCTACAGGTAGAGGTGAGGAGGTCAGTCTCTATTTTCTTCCGTTTGGGTCTGTTCCAGATCAGAAACCTCCCCAGCATGTGGTGCACCGGAAGCTATTCCACACTGATTGATGTGTGTTTTGTGTATGATTTTTAACTAGGCCCTGGCCATGGGGGAAACATCAGCAGGCTTGCTCTGGGTCTGCTTACCTTGGATGGGAAGGCCTTAGGTTCTTATCTTGGCTCTGTCTGCAGCTACAAAGCTGTAGTTGATGGGTGAGGCCCTTCCCTGGCTGTAGAACAAGGGGTTTGGGCTACTGGCAGTCTCTCACTGAGCCCCCCAGCAAAAACAATTGAAAGCATGTCATTGAGATGCAGCTGGTCTCCTTATATATGATCCAGACCTGAGACTTTGCAAAGAAGCATTTCTGGTTGTGTCGTGTGAGAAGCGGGGACATTGGGTCTCTATGACTGTGTGTTCATGAGGGGCCACAGTTCTTCTCTCTCTCATGTTGGGGCAGCAGAGGGAGCAAAGACCTTACCTCTGAGCCCTGGGATCCGAGCATACCTTACATAGTAGAGGAGGATGAGGGCTGTGGCTCAGGCTCCGCAGAGGGCGGCAGGTTAGGGACAAGCGAAGGTAGGAGATGGGCTGGGGTAGCTCCCTGGAGGCAGAGGGTGGCAAGGCCCTGGGGTAGGCTCATGTCTCTGTGCTCTGTGAGCAACGGGGCATCGCTGGGACACGAGGTCAGCACTTCCCACATGCTCTACCACTTGAGTTGCATTCCCAGAAACTTTGTTTTTTAGATAAAGGCTCTCACTTTTGGCCTAGTGCTGACCTGGGACCATGATCCTACAAACTCTCATCTCCCAAGGAGTGGGGGTTTACAGGCCTTAGCTACGCCCTGCCTGACTGGTTTTGTTGAGGTGGGAAGTCTATAACTTTTGTCTAGGCTGGCCTGAAAACCATGATCCTCCCTTCTCTGTCACCTATAAAGCCAGAATTACACATGTGTGATACTATGCCTGACCAGGAAGGAGCTTCTATTAGTACTTAAGGGCTTCTTCTTAGGGGGTTATGAGCTGGGAACTTGACACATGTATTCTATAGTTCTTACAACTTCAGTTGACGGCTAGGATAATTACTCTGTCAGTGGAGAGCCAGGGGCTCCAATATTCTGAATGTCATGACCAGGAACATACAAAGATGTGGCTGACTGGGAGGCCTGTCTTTGAGGATGAAGAGAGATGGAGGAACCCCTAAAGCTCAGGTTCAAGCCCTTCTTATTTAATGTGGATTCTGGGGCTTACCCTCCGGGCCTGGGCACTGTCCCTGATCTTTTGTGTTCTAGGCTAGCACTTTGCCACTTGAGCCCCAGCTCCAGTTCTGGTTTTTTGGTGTTTAAATAGAAATAAAAATCTCACAGACTTTTCCTGCCCGGGCTGGCTTTGAACCACATTCCTCAGCCTCCTGAGTAGTAGGATTACAGGCATGAGCCCTCGTGCCCAGTTCTAGTCTTTTCATCTTATTGATGGTAGCTTTAGTGGAGAGCAAGTAGGGCAGGAATGCTGATGCCTAGGTCATATCCCTGACTCCATCCTTCCAGGAACATCTGTGCTCCTAGCAGGTGGTCCAGAGGGCTGGTGAATCTGTCATAAGCTGTTTATGAATAAGTAGTTGTATTTCATAAGCATTTCCTATAGGTTTTTTTGGACATTCTCTTATGCTGAGAGCTGCCTGGGTATCCAGCAGGAAGTTCCAGAAAGCCCAGCAGGGTCTCTGAAAGGGCAGGGCAGTCCCCTCCACCCATGGGAACATACTGTACCCCTGCCTGCTCTGCTCGGATCCATAGTGCCCAGGGCATCGTGGGTGAAAACGTGTTATTTCTAGTATGTCTGCTATCATTTTAAGATTTCTACCACAGCACAAGTAAGAAAAACAATAGGACCTGGTCACCAATGGCTCATGCCTATAATTCTACCTGCTCTGGAAGCTGAGTTTATGGATTCAAGTTAACCTAGGGGGGGGAACATAATGAAAGACCCCCATCTTGACACAGAAATCTGAGTGGTCACCCATCTCTGCCTTTCGAGATAATTGTAGCCAGGATGAAACCTCAAAAATAAAGAATGGTGAAGGCATTGTATTCATAAACTGCTTTGTTAAATGGCAACTCCTTTGTACAACTACTTAAAGATAATAAATAAACAAAAAAAGAAGCAAAAAGGGCTGAAGGTGGTATGGCTCAAGTGACTGAATGCCTGTTTAGCAAGCCAGGAATCCTTGAGTTCAATCTCCAGTGCCACACAGACACACAGACACACACACCCTCAATAGGATTATTCATGACTTTCCAGCTGTGGACACAGCCAAAGGATGGCAAACAGGCATGCTTAGGCTACATTAGAAGAATGTTCTTGGATTCCTAGTGTTTGGCTTTTGTTTTGTGTGTTTGTTTTGTTTGAAATTGTTGTGCTAGTTAGTTCAGATGTAGAGAATTATGTTGAACGTATGGAAGTCATAAGTGTACAGTTTTAATAGATGAAATGTGTTCCTGTGCTGAGCAGACTCAGGCTATGTGGTCAGTGCTCTGTGCTGTGGCTGTTTCCTTGCTTCAGGAACTTGTCTGAGAGCCCCCAGCACCCTCTCTGATTATTACATAACAGAAACTGTTCCTTAGAGTCCCCTCTGCTGCCATTGCTTCTCATGCTGTACAGAATAAAAGGGCTGAGCTGCCAGGTATTTGGCAGGGGAGCTCCTGCACAGAAGGCTGTACTTATTAAGTTGGTATTTACTGGAGGCTTTTGTGGTGCATTTACTTCTCAGATGAGCCATCCATCTACACCCCAGTTTCATAACTGGGAGACTGAAGTTCCAGGTGAGCACGCTGGCTGGTAGGATCTTGCGTTGAGTGTTAGGTAGATCCTAGGCTTGAACCCAGGTCTATCTGATGCCTGAGCTTCCTAAATGGTTCCTAAATGGTTATATGTAGACTCAAGGACCTGGACAGCTGACATCTGTATGTGCTCTTTAACTCAGAGCCCTCTTTCCAGTTGTCCTTTGGTCTGGATAGCGGGACCACAGAGGTACTGTCTGCACTGAAGCCCGGCCCAGGGTCAGAAGGATGTCACATGTCCTGGGGCTGGTGTTCAGGTAGCTTCAGAATCTAGTCCAAGCCTTTGTCCTGTACTTACCCTCTCTGACTGTCCTGGTACTTTTTCTCTGAGAATGCAGTAGGATCTGGGTCAGTTACCCTGGCTCATGTCTCTCCAAATCCACGTTTCCCCCTCAGCTTGGGTATGCAGCCATCAGCAGTTCCCTGTTGTGGAATGTATGCAATGTCACAATCCAGAAAGTCAAAATGGGAGAGGCCCGCTTGGCTGCATGCTCTGCTCCAGTGTATTTGTGGAGCTCTGGCTGTGAGGCGCCATGTGGCTACAGCCATGAAGGGCTGCCAGTCAGCAGATTGTGGCTTGGGAGTTTCTGGGGGCTGCTGCCAGGGCCCTAATTAATAGCAGCAGAGGGTTTGTGTCCTTTGCCCACACTGTAGGTCTGGGTTTTGTGTGCCTGATTGGAAGTCAGCGCATGAGGCTCAGCCTCAGGAGCATGTGGTTCTGACCAGCCACAGCCATCAAGCACCTCCATGGCCCATATGCTAAACAGAAAAGCCCAAGATCCACCTCTGCCCTTTTCTTTTTGGGTGAGTTACATAGTTGGAATTTTAACAGATCCAAGAATGCTGAGTGGACGGCAAGTTTGTTCATGCGACATTCCATTGAATGAGAATTGGTTACCCTGCACTTAGCCACCACTCAGCAAATGGTCGATGCATGAATGGATTGATGCAGTGGATTCTTGGGGGTTTATGATCTCTGCATTCAATATAATGTTGCATTCATGATTCAAAGGGTGTTGCATCCTAGAGCATCACTGGAAGGCTACGAGTCTGAAGCCAGGTGCTGGTGGTTCACACATGTACTCTGGCTACAAGAGGCTGAGATTTAAGGTTAATTGTTCAAATCTAGCTTGGGCAGGGAAGTCTATGAGATGCCTATGTCTAATTAACCAGGAACAAGCCAGATTAGGGGGGTAGCTCAAGTAATAGAGAGCCAGCCTAGAACAAAAAAGTTAAAAGGACAACAAGAGACTCTGAGTTCAAGCCCTGGTACACACACACACACACACACACACACACACACACACACACGGAAGGTTGTGGTTGGTGGTGGTGGTGGTGGTGTGTGGGGGGGTGTCCGTGTGTGTGTGTGTGTGTGTGTGTGTGTGTGTATGTGTGTGTGTTCAACCTGGAGAGGTAGAAATGATTCTATCGATGATCTGAACTCATTTTCACTGCTGTCACTCTGCAGAAGATCATGGAACATGGCAGATACAGGTAAGTCTTTGTCCCTGTTGATTGTAAGTCCTGTGTGAATTCAGGGATCTCCTCCAGCTGTGTGGTGTCATTTCTGCCCCGGTTCATGGCTTGTCTCCTGCTTTCTCCTTACAGTGCTGCACACACAGGGCCCAGTGGATGGCAGCCTCTATGCCAAGGTGAGGAAGAAGAGCGCCTCAGATCCTGGTGGACCTGGCATCTCCCAGGCCGGGCCAGCCACCAGCAGCCCCGACCACAGTGACCACACCCTGTCTGTCAGCAGCGACTCGGGCCACTCCACTGCCTCGGCCAGGACTGATAAGACAGAAGAACGTCCAGCCCCAGGGACCCGCAGAGGCCTCAGCCCCCAGGAGAAGGCTGAGCTGGACCAGCTGCTCAGTGGCTTTGGTCTGGAAGATTCGGGAAGCTCCCTCAAGGACATGACTGATGCTCGTAGCAAATACAGTGGGACCCGCCATGTGGTGCCGGCGCAGGTCCACGTGAACGGAGACGCTTCCCTGAAGGACCGGGAGACTGACATCCTGGATGATGAAGTGCCGCACCACGACCTGCACAGTGTGGACAGCCTGGGCACACTGTCGTCGTCAGAGGGGCCGCAGTCTGCCCATGTGGGGGCCTTCACCTGCCACAAGAGCAGCCAGAACTCCCTCCTGTCCGACGGCTTCAACAGTAATGCTGGCGATGACTCCAGTGGTGCCCTGGCTCTTGACCTGGGCCTCGGTGGGGACCCCATCTATGAGCGGGAGCCCATGTTTGGAGGCCGGGAGCCCAAGCAGCTGCAGCCTGTGCTGAGGAAACCCTCGGTGCCCGCCCCGGGGCAGGCCTACGGGCCAAGCAGCTACTCCACTCAGACCTGGGTGCGCCAGCAGCAGATGGTGGCTGCGCACCACTACAGCTTTGCCCCCAATGGGGAGGCCAGGCTGTGCGACCAGGGTGCGGCAGATAATCCTGGCCTTGGCCAGCTTCCCCTGCCCCAGGTTCCAGTCACCCCCAGCCGTGGAGCCAGTAGCAGAGTGGCCGTCCAGAGGGGCATTAACCATGGGCCCAGCCCTGCTGACATGCAACCATCCTTCCCCAGCAGAGCGCTCCACACTGGGTTCCCAGAGGCCAGAGCTGTGAACGGAGCCCATCCAGAGCCGAGCTCTGGCCCCACCCCGGGATCACCTACCTTGGATATTGACCAGTCAATCGAGCAACTCAATAGACTCATCTTAGAGCTGGACCCCACTTTTGAGCCTATCCCCACCCATATGAATGCCCTGGGCAGCTCGGCTAATGGCCCCGTGTGTCCAGTCAGCATGGGTGGTGGGCTCCGGGGAAGTGGCAGGCTGCCCAGCACTGCTGACGGCCCTGGCAGGAGTCCTGGGAGGCAAGGTAAGCTAGCTTTCTGTGGAATGTTGACATCTGACAAGAAATCAGCCTACTAGAAGGCCAGCATGGACCAAAGCCCACCCTAGTGGGATGTTCCCTTTGCTGTTTCTCAGCATATACTGTCTCTGGATCAATGTGGCACCTGTGCCACCAGGGGAGCTGGATAGCAGATTTGCAAAGGATGAAGGATGGGGCCCAAAGCCTTCCTGTGACGTTGGCATAGAGCAGGGACTGTGTCCAGCTGGCTCAAAGGGGATGGCCATGCCTTCACTTCATAGGTAGTTGTTATTTCACAGGCGATCAGCAGAGAGCGTTTGGAGCCAGACTGACTGATGCCCATTGCTCTCTGTTCTCAGAACCTTTGTTTCCACCTCTGCCAATTGAGGTTAATGGTGAAAGCTTCCTTGCTGAGGAATTGGGCTAGGCAAGGAAAGGATGTGTGTGTTATGGCTCATACTTTTTGGAAACAGGTCAGGAAACTGACTAGGTGGTCTGAAGATTTGGGGAATGAACAGAAGCATCTGGTCCTTAAGGCAGCCTGGGCAGAAAAATGACCTGATGACAAAGAGTTACATCTGAGCTGACTCTGTGCTGGAGAGGGAGGCTGTTCATAGGAGGCCAGAGGGCAGAGAAAGTTAGGCAGGTGTGTGGGCTGGGAGGTTGAAAGGGCACCCAGGCCCCTGGGAGGCTCAGAGAAAGCAGGCCTAGGAGCATAAGGCCTAGGAACTCTAGCCAGAACCACGAGGCCAGGCATTCTGTGTAGTGTGTGTGTGTGTGTGTGTGTGTGTGTGGTAGAGGGTGATAGCCAGGTGTGAGGGTCACCTTTATGCATCCCCTGAATGTGGGAGTCAGGTCACTGCAAGGAGGGGTTGTATGTGCCCCCATGAAGCAGGGCAAACTGGGAACCAGGTAGGGTCTTCTTGCCCAGATGAAAGACCTGGGAAGGCCCAAGGTTGGTGGTAGTGGATGGCAGTGATTTCTGTCTGAGTCTACTGGCTGTGTCCCAGTGAGGACTTTGGGATTGAGTTACTGTCAGATGCTTCTCATGCTGGGGAGGCAAAAGGCCAAGGCAGTGCATACTGGCTGTGGTTGCTGCTGGTCAAAGAGGAGGCCCAGAAGGCAGAGGAGCACGGGATGGAAATCAGGCCCTCTGGAGCAGGGGCTCACAAGGTGTAGGACACTGGGAAGAGGTGTCTGCATCTAGGTTGGTTCTAGAGAGGGATCACCTGTACAGGTAAAAGACCACAATGGCCCTGCAAGAAAGGGAGTGTTCACTGTTTCCTGCTTTCTCCCTCTGTTTCTTGTGTCAAGTGTCCAGATAACAGTGATGGAAAAACCTCATGGCCCTGAGGTTTGGGCACGGTGTGGCCAATCCGTCTGGGGTTTGGGGGTGTCTCCCCTGAATAGCCTCTGTAATATAACACATGACCATCACTACAGCAATAGTAACAGTGCCTTTCTATTCAGTGCCTCTCACTGAATCTAATATACTCTGGACATTCTTGAGATTAAGAAAAAGATATTAGTAAGAATAAAACTATCTTTATTACAGTGCTTGACAATAAACCTTGAAAGAATTTGCTTGAAAGAATTAAGCAATAAGGCTTTTCTCCCAGGTACAATCCCTCCTGCAATGTGGAAGCGGCTGTGGCATGTCAGTGCTTGTGGGAGAGGACTTTGCTCAGGTCAGCACTCAGTGGCCTCTCTAGGTTAATGTGTTTTTCAGTCCATTCTTGTTTCTTGCTGAAACAAAACAGGCATAAACCTGGGAGATCAGGTGATTAAGTAATTATAGCCAGGTGCCCAAGGGCTCACGCCTGTGATCCTAGCTACTTAAGAGGATGAAATCGAGGATCATGGTTCAAAGCAAGCCCAAGTAGTGAAGTCTGTATATGAGACTTTCATCTTCAATTAACCACCTAAAAGCTGGAAGTAGAGCTGTGGCTCAAGTGGTAGAGCACTAGCCTTGAGCACAAAAGCTCAAGGACAGCTCCCAGACCTTGAGTTCAAGCCTCAGGATCAGTAGAGGAAAAAAAAAAAGTAATACAACTTTGTCATACAAACTTAAAAGGTTTTAATCCATTGATGTTAAAGCATCCTGACCCTTTTTAAATTCCCTCCCTCTCTCCCACCCTCCTGGTGGTGGTGGTGGTGGTGGGGGGGGGGGGGGTGGGGGTGGTGGGGGTGGTGGGGGGGGGTGGGGGTGGTGGGGGTGGTGGGGGTGGGGGTGGTGGGTGTGTGTGTGTGTGTGTGTGTGTGTGTGTGTGTGTGTGTGTGTGTGTGTGTGTGTAGTTCATACCTTCCTGTCATCCTCTCCAATCCCGTCTATTCCCTCCCCAGACTCATGTCACTTTTCCACTTCATCCATCACGTGTCTGTCAGAATTTGTCTCCTATTCCCTTCATTAACCCACTTTGCCCAACCCCTGTTGCTCCCCTACAATTTTGTTTCAGCTTTCTGATACTAAAACTATAGAGATTATATGTAAGCAAACTGGCTATTACTCTTCCTAAATCCTTTTGAAATTCAAGAATGACGTTCCTGAAGGAATCCTGTTGCAAATAAGCTAGCAAGGGTATCAGCTAGGCACCAATGGCTCATAAGCTGTAATTCTAGCTATTCAGGAGACTGAGATTTGAAGATCAGGGTTGAAGCCAGCTTAAGCAAGGAAAGTCTGTAAGACTCCTCTGTAAGACTCTTCTCTCCAATTAACTACCAAAAAGCTGCAAATGGAGGTGTGGCTTAAGTGATAAGTGTCACCCTGAGTTAAAAAGCTGAGGGACAGCATCCAGACCCTACCTTCAAGCCCCAGTGCCAGCACAAAAAGAGTGGACATTGCAGAAAGGCTCAGCCGTGGAGTAAACTGAGTTAGACACCCTTCTTCCAGAATGAACCTTCCCAGCTCTCAGCTGGGAGATGGAGTAGGTCTTGAGCCTTACACTACATGTTCTTGTTGTGATAAAATTTAGCTCCTTGGGGTGGAGACAGCCTTCTAACAACCTGCAAGCTAGCTTTTGGATCTCACTGCAGGCTATCTTGTCTGGACAGAGAATATTTCTTCATGTACCTATTCCAACTGGGCAGAGAAAGGAATGTTCCTCCCTTGGCAGGGAGATAGAACAGTCCTGATCTTTAGCTTGCCATTCAGTACATGTGCCTGGCGCCAGAGGCTCACGCCTATAATCTTAGCCAGTCAGGATGTCGAGGTCCAGAGAATTGTGGGTAAAAACCAGACTGGGCAGAACAGTTTGAAGGACTTCATATCAAAACTAACCAGCAGGGCTGGGAAGGTGGCTCAGTGGTAGAGCGCTTGCCTTGCATGCTCAAGGCCCTGGGTTCGATTCCTCAGCACCACATACGCAAAAAGAAAAAAGCCGGAAGTGGCACTGCGGTTCAAGTGGAAGAGCGCTAGCCTTGAGCTGAAGAGCTGATCACAATGATGGGAGTGGCGCTGATTGCAAATGGTTGGGTTTTCAGCGTCTGTGTGGTGAAGACCTGCTCCCCAGCAAGATGCTGATGGGACATGGTGGAGCCTTCAGCATAATGAGAGGTCTTTGGTCAGGTCATCGGTGTTGTACCCTTGAAGAGGAGAGGAGAACTCCTGTCCCTTTTGTTCTCTGGTCATGAGGTTGTGGCTTTGCTTTGCCATATCCTCCACAATGATGAAAACAATGGGACCACAACTGACACAGACAGAAATCTCCAAAAACTGTACGTTAACCCTTTCTCTTCATAAGCTAGATATCTCAGGTATTTGTGATCGGGATAGAAAGCTAACACCTTCCTTATAATCTGAAATCTTGCTGGACTCCCTTATTGTAGGATGTTTTCTTTTTGGGGGGGGGGCAGATTCTCTGAGATTTTCTACATAGATGAACATATTATTTGTAAGGAGCAGTATTTTTAGTTTTTCCTTTCCCAGAAAATGCTGGTGATAGTAATGATGGTGATGGTAGTGGTGATGGTGATGGTGGTGGTGATGGTGGTGGTGATAGTGATGATGGTGATGATGTCATTCTGACTGGCTCACTGTCTTCTAGCCCCCCCCAGTACTTACAACAGAGCTCCTCTCCCCTCTCCCCCTCTCCCAGCTGCTCTGCTGTTGCTACCCTCACCTTCCTCCATTGTTTTTGTTGTCATGAGTCTTGAAGTCAGGGTCTGGGTGCTATCACTGAGCTTTCTTTTGCTTAAGGCTGGTGCTCTACCACTTTGAGTCACAGCACCACTTCTGTTTTTTCTGGTGGTTATTTGGAGATAAGAGTCTCATGGACTGGCCTGCCTAGGCTGGCTTTGAACTGTGATTGTCTGATCTCAGCCTCCTGAGTAGCTAGGATGAGAGGCATGAGCCACCTGGAGTGTAGTAAAGGAAGGGCCACCAGGTAGGTAGAAGTATGCATGTCTCCCCACAGGGCTGCCATGTAGACACGGAGGTGTCTACATGTAGGGACATGTAGGATCGCCCATCCCCACCACAGGGCAACAGAGAGGCCAGCCAGGGGTGGGTGCAGTGAGGGACCCCCATAAAGCAGCGGGGGCAGGGAGGGATGTTCTCAGTTAAAGGCCCTTCCCTCCTCTGGCCCCTGTGGAGGGTCTCAGATGTTGTCCGGCCCCCAGCTTGCATTGCCCCTCACAGCCTCACAGCTCTGACACAGCTGCCTATGAATGGGGCTCTCAGGTGGGAAGAGAGTTCAGTGGAAGAGATTTCAATAGGTGACACCTGAGACAGGAGAACAGTGACGGCCTATGGAATGGATGGGTCCATGGAAGCAAAGAGCGGGCTGCTTTTTCCATACCTCCAGGGCTTCTGGCTTCGTGTTGTCAAAATATTTTATTCATGTTCCGTCACCATCACTCCGGCGATGACAGGAACCTGGCAGGTGCTTGTGTGTCTACAGCGTGCCGGGGCCTTCTTGCCCCAAGGGTTTGCAGCATTCTTCAGACCTGGCGTCTGCTTGCTTAGTACTCTCCCAGATTCCATGGCCTATGAAGCCAAGAAACAAGCAGTGCCATCCACTTTTAACAGTTGATTAGTTGTGGCCGTCATCCAACCAGAGGATGCAAATGTGAGCACCGAAGGAGCGCTAGGGCTCAGAAAGTGGCTACTTCTGCCAGCTTTGATGGTGGGGAGAGAGGCCTGATGTGGAGAGGAAAAGGTCTGTGCCTGATCCCATGGGGTCATTGTTCCACTGACACAGTCTGGGAAAAGACTTCTCTCTAAGACCCACCAAACTGCACCAGTAGCCCTTGGTACTGGCAGTTTTATGTTGAGGTTGGTGTTGAGCACAGAGTACCAGGTGATTGTGGCAGGTAGTGAGGCTAGCCTAGCAGACAGCCTCACCGCCAGGCTCTGCCTGGTGTCTTGGCTACACAGGGCTGTGTGCCTGCACATTTGGGCTGTCACTGTCCTGTCAGGGAGGGCCACTCTTTTTTTCTCTTCCTCCCTCCCTCCATCCCTCCCTCCCTCCCTCCCTCCTTCCTTCCTTCCCTCCTTTCCTCCCTCCTTCCTTCCTTCCTTCCTTCCTTCCTTCCTTCCTTCCTTCCTTCCTTCCTTCCTTCCTTCCTTCCTTCCTTCCTTCCTTCCCTCCTTCCTTCCTTCCTTCCTGTCCTGGGCCTTGAACTCTGAGCCTGTGTGTTATCCCTGAGCTTTTGTGCTCAAGGCTAGCACTCTATCACTTTTTCTGTGATTAATTGAAGATAAGAATCTCACAGACTTTCCTGTCTGGGCTGACTTCAAACCACAGTCCTCAGATCTCAGCCTTCTGAGTAGCTAGGGTGACAGGCATGAGCCACCAGCCCCTCGGAGGCCACTTGACACAGCAGCTAGCAAGTGTGTTATGGGCCTGTGGTTGTGTCTCAGGCACTGGTGGGTGGCATTTGGGCAAGATGGGTTGTCATGAGGTCATGCTTCCACTCCACAAAGAAGGAATCTGGAGGGGACTTGGGTGTGGGGACACGGGACTTGTGCATGGAGCAGCTGGCATTGGGAGAGATGAGGGCACCTGCTGGCTTTGGCAGCCAACCATCTGGGTTTGCTGGGGATGGGATGCGTCTAGTTCCATGTCATATGTACAGCCTCCTCCCTCCCCCCAGCTATGAAACTCCCAGGGTCTGTGTCGGGTCCTCTGGGAGTTGGGGAGACCCCAGCATGCACGTTCAGTGGACCTGTGCCCAGGTGCATGCCTCGCACTGTGTGCTCTCCCTGGCCATCCAAGGTCAGCCCAGAGCCAGCCATCTTTCCTCTGAGGGGCTTCTCCCCTGCTTTGTTCCTCCTAGTAGCTAGGTAAGGTTGGAGGACCAGATCTTATAAGAGAGCCTTTTGGTACAGGCAGCAGGGGAACCCCAAAAGTCAAGGCCAGGGGTACTGGCCTATTGCCTTGCTTTGTATTTGCCACTTCCTTTTTCTAAAGGTGAGCTTTGGTCCCTGGAGCTGTTTGAAGGAGAGCGCCAAAAAGATTCTCTAAGGGAGCTCATTTGCACAAGTGCCCAGCCCCTCACCCTCCTGACACGTTTCCACCACCCTGAGAAAGCTTGTAGTACCCAGAAGTGAGGGCCTACAGAAGCCCTGTGGAGGGTATCACACGCAGCCCCTGACCCTGGCTGCATCTAGGCAGCCTGTACAACCTGGCTTGGAGCCAGGCCAGTATGCGTGGTATGAGGTAAAATGTGAAGGAGAGAGAGACACCCCCAGGATGGGCTCCGGACTGGCAGGCTACCACCTCGGACAGCCTGTCTTGGACAACTCCATCTTCTTCCTAGGATAGAAAGAGCCCTTTCTGACTGCTGCCCTTCCAGCCTCCCTTTCTCCTTCCCCTGCTCAAGCATAGCACAGTGGCACTGGGTCTGTGTCCCATGTAGCAGAAAGGACATCAGCCAGGCCTTAGCCCAGGGAAGGAGCTGACCCCAGGAGGCCTATCTAAGTGCCTGAAGCTGGAGGGTTGGGTGATGGAACTCACCATACAGATTGTGACAAGAGCTGTTTCCTTCTCCAAATGGTGATCCCGTCCCTGTTCTGGTACCTTCTCTCCACTGCGCTGGTTCTGCATTCTTCAGAGCTGTTTCAGTCTTGGGGTGAGTGAAGAGAGGTGAGGGGCTGGGTACAGCTCTTCCCTGGGGCCCTGCCTTCAGCCTGTACTGAGCAATGTCACCCTAAGGTGGTCCTTACATTGCCAGTGAATTCCTTGCCTGTCACTAGAATGCCATTACAAGTGTATGTCATGTTTTTCTTTTGCCAATACCAAGGTATGAACTCATGTCATGTTTTTTCTTTTGCCAGTACTGAGGTGTGAACTCAGGACTGAGTAGGCCAAATAAGCACCCTACCACAGGAGTCACATCCTTGGTTTTCTTTGTGTGTGATGGTACTATGGCGTGAATTCAGGGCCAGGGCACTGTCCTTTAGCTTTTTTACTCAAGACTAGTGCTCTACCACTTGAGCCACATCTCTACCTCCAGATTTTTGCTGGTTCACTGGAAATAAGAGTCATACAGACTTTCCTGCAGGGCTGGCTTCAAACTGTAAGCCTCAGATCTCAGCTTCCTGAGTTGCTGGGATTACAGGTGTGAGCCACTGCCCTAGCCCCTTGCCCTTTTGGCTTTATTTTTCCAGATAAAGTCTGGAATTTGGCTGGTCTGGCAAAAAGGTTGGTCTGCCTTCCACATACATAGCTGGGATTCCAGGCATGCATCACCACACCCAGATTTTTATTTTCCTGAGACGGGGTCTTTCTGTGTCGCCCAGGCTGTCCTGAAAGTTGAGATCCTTCTGCCTCCACATTCTGAGTGCTGGGATTACAGACATGAGCCGGATTATGTATTCCTAACTTAAATCTAGAATGTAGAGAAATGAATTGGGTGTACCTTTTCAGACTACAATATTATTTGCAGCATTATCATCTTATTAGCCTGCCCCAGGTTTTCCCCAGTTGCTTAATGATAAGAATTCCCTGGAAGAAGTGCTTTTAAAACAAAACAAAACAAAATACCAGGTATGGTAGTCACACCTATAACCTCAAGAGGCAGAGGTTGGAAGGGCTGCAGCAGTTAATGGCCAGCCCTAGCAAAAAGTTTATGAGGCTCCATCCTAGTAAAAAGCCGAGCATAGTGGTAGACATCTGTCATCTCAGCTATGTAAGTATAAATAGGAAGATCATGTCTAGGCATTGTGACTATTTCAAAAGTCACCATAGCAGACAGCACTGGACTGTGGCTCAAGGGATGGAGAGCCTGTCGAGTGAGCACAAGGCCAGTATTCAACTCCAGTATCACCTATTAAAAAATGGTAACAGCCGGGCACCAATGGCTCACTCCTGTAATCCTAGTTACTCAGGAGGCTGAGATCTGAGGATTGTGGTTTGAAGCCAACGCCAGGCACAAAAGTCCCTGTGAGACTCTTATATGTAATTAACCACTCAAAAACCGGAAGTGGCGACGTGGTCTAAGAGGTAGACCACTAGCCTTGAGTACAAAGAGGCTCAGGGACAGCACCCAGGCCCTTAACTGACCCCCCCCCAAATGGTAAGAGATTCCAGCTCCTGTCACTCTTGTACACTGCCCCCCCCGCCCCCCCCCCCACCTCTTCCCTGCCTTTCTACATGTAAGGAGAATCCGATTTGGTTAAATTGGGCAGCATGGTGTCTGTGTGAGAAATGAAAGCCTGTGTTGTTTCCGGTAGGAAATGTTGACTGTGGGTGTTGGCTCGGGGTTGTTAGTGGTACCCCAGTGATCCAAAGGTGGCCCCTTGGGCTCTCCGTAGCAGAGTTCTCCTTGTGAAGACTCAGATTGTCAGGTGAGGGCCATGGGTTTGCTGGTTGTCGCTGCAGATAAGTGGTCATAAGAATTCCCAGACCAGGGCCTGAGGCTAGTGACAGCAGGTGCCTTCCAGGCTCAGCCCTGTCTGCCTTGTCCCAGTGCTGTGGGGGGAGTCCTGCTACCTTGCCCTGCCCCTGGAAGCCTGCCCTGGAAGGAAGATGCCCACTTGGGGCAGTGGCTGCTGCCTGGCTCATCACCGTGCATCTGAACATGGCCCCAGCTTTCGGATCTACCTGAGGAGCCTTGGGATCCGCTCAGGAGCTGACCGCACTCCTCTGTGATGGCCATGACCACCCCTCTCTCTCCTTACAGGCTCTTCCAGTGATGAGCCACTGGGTGGAAGACTCCGGAAGCTGAGCCTTGGACAGTATGACAATGAGGCTGCGTGCCAGCTGTCCTTCTCCAAGTGTGGATGGGGAAAAGCTGCTGTGGATCCAGCGCCAAGCATGACACCATTTCCATCTCCAGCAGACATGAAAGAGGTAGGGACTGGGCTCAGGGCAGTGGCTGGGCCTGGTGCCTGTACCAGGTGCCATAGCCTCCCATCTCTGGCTGCATCTCAACTCCAGACATAGTTCCTCACTGATGGGCAATGGTGGGGTCCTACTGCACCCCAGAGATGGCTCTGTGGAGGCCGCCTCTCCGTGAGCCTTGGTGAGCTGATCTGCAGAATGGGAAAATACCCGGCCCCAAGTTCTCCATCCAGGACAGTGACCCCTTGGAAGTCTGCAGGAAAGAGCACCTCCAGCTCTTCTGTGATGGCTGGTGTGGCTTCTTACTAGAATCAGAAAGACAGGTCAGCCTGACTAGCACTTTCAAATTGGAGCTTCATTCTCAACTTGAAAATTAAAACCTCAGAACTGTGTGAAAAGGTAACTAGTAGTCTTTTTGTTTTTCTTTGTGCCAGTAGGTACTGGGACTTGAAGTAAGGGCCTGGACACTATCCCTTAGCTTTTTCACTCAAGGCTGGTGCTCTTACTACTTGAGCCACAGCTCCATTTCTAATTTTTTCCCAGGGAATTGGAGATGAAAGCCTCATGAACTTTTCTGCCTGAGCTGGCTTTAAACCAAGATCCTCAGATCTCAGCCTCTTGAGGAGCTAGGATGACAGGCACGAGCCCGTCATTGGTGCCCACCTGTCACTGATAGTCTTAACTCCCACGTAAAACCATCACTCCTATTCAGGATGTCTCCTATTCTGTGTGATGTTTTAACTTCCCTGTTAACAGTCACGATGAAGCAGCTGGCTTATTTTAAGCATCACCTGCCAGATAAAGAGGACAGGTATCAAGATTCTCCCTCTCCCTTTACTAGTGAGCATAAGAAGCCTTTGTCTTAGCACCAAGACTCAGGACTCTTCCTGTCCCTACTCTGAGAGGCTCAGCAACATAGGCCAGAAAGAAGGATTCCTCATTCTTCCATTCTTCTCCCCATGCTGGTTCCAGACAATGGTCGCCGCTTATCCCCCAGACCTTGATCTGATCGATGGCAGGATTTTAAATAGCAAGGAATCTGCGTGTTCGACCCCAGCATTTCCTGTGTCTCCAGAAACACCTTATGGTAAGAACCCAGTAAAGCTAAGTGTATACAACTTGCCCCTGCAAAGAGTCCAGTGACAGCAGCTGTGCTGTGTTCTCCTTTCCAGTGAAGACACCTCCACGATACCCTCCATTCAGCCCACCTGACATCCAGCTGAGCGGCCCAGTCAATCTGTGCAAAGGACTTGGTAAGGAACCCCTGGAATGTGGTATACATAGCCCTGGTGCTATGGTTGTCATTGCCACAAGGGCATCTCCTTGTGCAAATGTTTCTGTTTCTACTGCATAGCTCAGAAGTCTCAGATGAGGTCCTGTCTCACCAGGAAATACGTTGGTAGGGATACACCATGTGTGTGTGCATGTGGGAGCCATAGGACGTGGAGTGGCTTCCAGCCATCTTGCAGAGGTGTTCCTGCTCAACACTTCCCCTTTGTCCCCCAAAATGTGCGTTTGTGGTCAGGCCGGGGTGCTTGTGGCTATCAGCTGGCAGAGGCAACGTTAACATTCATGCAGCATTGCATGGAGCCAGAGTCGGAGTGAGGCAGCGGCCAGCACACCACCCCATTCACAGAGCACGCGGGACCCAGGGACTGGGAGCAGGTTCTGTGTGTGCATCCTGCTGAAGCTGCCCATGCACCCTGCTGTGGCTCTTCTGATCCCTTGATGTGTGATCCTTGAGTCTGGGTTTTCTCAGGAGAGCCTGGGGACACCTTTGGCATTGTGTGTTGTGTCCATCTGCACAGCCATCCCTGGAAGGGAGTGGTAACAGGGACAGACATGAAGACCAAGGTCTTTTGCACTTCAGGGAAGCCAAAGGTTGACAGGTAGAGGATCGTGACTCATCTGAAGCCCCATGTGCAGATTTTTCATGCAGCTGCTGACCTGGGAAGGGCATGCGAGGAGCCCCATTCCATTAGTTCTGAGAATGAAGGATCTTCACTAAATCATGTCACCCTTGTCTTCAACCTGAAGCAGTCACAGAAATGTCTGTCAGCTCATCTGGCCCTTTTGTCCATAGCACATCTAGTGTATAGATCATTTAAAGGACTTTTAATGAAACTTCAGAGTTTACTTGCATAGGACCATAGTGCTTCTTTTACCTACATCATTGAGCACTTAGTTATCTGTATTTCTTAGCAGGAATGACCTGAAATTTAAGGGAAAAAAAGGTATATAATGAGTGTTGCTTTGTTTCTGTTTGGACATTGCCTGAGCATAAGGAGGAGAGTGGACATTCTGATGTGCATTTGTCTGTGGCACTCACACACATAGACCAAATGTGTTCTTCTAGTCATTGGTAATGTATGTGGAGGCCAATAGAGATGTCTTGTGTCCCTCTACTTGCTACATTCTGTTCCTCATCAGTCAACCATACTTGATTCCTCAAGGCAGTGTATACATTGGATTGGAGTGGAAACAGCCCTCTGGTTTGGACTTCTTCATTCCATTCAGCACCAGACCACAAACATGTATACAAGGTGAATCATGACCTCAAGGAAAGAAAATACTAGAAAGAACTTTGAAGCTCAGTAACAGCTCACAATGTAGACCTCTGGTCCCCTGGTATCCAGTGTCAGGAGAATACTGAGCCTCCTCTAGACTGTAGAAAGGTCTAGAAGGCTTTGGGGTGCCCAGGATCTGCCTGGTTTATGCTGGCTTGGAAATGGGCTATTGAGAATAGGATGGGGCCCTGCATCCCAGCATAGAATAGTACACCCCACATCTTACCTACTTTCTGCACATAAATATCCATGCAGAAAAGACAGGGCTTTTGCTTTTAAATATAAGAGCAGATATAGTGATGATGATGATCACCATAATATAATAAGTCTTCTATATTTGTATCTCCAAAGCCCTCAGAGAAGACTGGCTCCCCCAACTTTTCCCCAGAAAGGAAATGAAGAAAGGGACAAAGAGGAAGGAGAGGAAGAAGTGGAAAAGAATAAAACCACAGGCTAATATTCCTCATGAATATAAGTGAAAAATGATGGACAGAACTCAAGTTTATAGAAGTTTTTTCACATACCATGACCAAGTAGCCTTTCTTCCAGGAATGCAAGACTGGTTCAACGTTTGACAATCTGCTCATGTGTCCTGCTGTATTAACTAAGCAAGAAAATCCATGATTATATCCACTAATGCAAAGTGTGGGGTAGAGGAGGAATTTGTCTAAATTCACACCCATTCAAGTCTAACAATTCCTTATAGAAGGGAGGGTAGTTTCCTCATCCACATGTCAAATGTGGATAAAGAATGTCTAAAAATTCCTTTAGCCAACTATATTCAATATGTTAGAAGTCTTACAGAGGAATGATTCACTAAAGCAAAATCTGACCACAGATTGGAGGGCAATCTGAAATAAAACTATTTGCTAATGACATGATTTATGAAGTGATCATGTAGGAAAATTGAATCTGAAATTTGAATGAATGCATTCAGCAAGTTTGTAGGAGCTAATATCAACATACAAAACTTATTTGTAAGCCAAGCACAGTGACTCATGCCTGTCATCCTAATTACCTGGGAGGCAGAGATTGGGAAGATTGTTAACAGTAAACCAGCCTGGGCAAAATAGTCAGCATGATCTCATCTCAACAATAATAACAACAACAAAGCCAGGCAAGCTGATATGCACGCATCTTACCCCATCTACATAAGAAGTGTGAGTAGAAGGATCTGATCTGAGCTGGTCCTGGCAAAAGCAAAGTAAGATCCTATCTGAAAAAAAAACAAAAACAGAAGGAGCTGGAGGCATGGCTCAAGTGGTAGAGCACTAGCAAATGGCCTAACAGGTACAAGGTAGGGTCTAGCAAGTGTAAAGCCCTTAATTTAAACCCCAGAACTGCTTCCCCTGCAAAAAGAAAAAAATAATCATTCTTCTGTTTTTGTAAATGCTTTGTGTCTAATACTTAGCATTCATGGTTTCAAAATATGAAATAGTTTCATCATAAAGACAAAAGCATGATGAAAAAAAATCTGTTTCTAACATAGCTGAGCTTTTGCGAAATTGTTGTGTATTCTTTTTTAAATTGGAGGCAAAAATCTCTTAACTTAAAACTAGCTACTTGAAAGTGAGTGATTCAAAAGCATTGAGTTACATCTACAAGGTCCCGCAACCATGGCCCCTATGTAGTTCCATAACATTCCTGTCACATAACAGCTTAACAGTAATGTGGCTGAGGATTGTTGGCTTCCGTGAAAATGATTTGCTGTTAATGTTTGTTTGCTTCTACAAAATGCTTTGGTTTTGCTGCCAAGTGGCTCCTAATCCTGTCTCCTGGGTGGACCCAGGCCTTGGGGGAGAGCCTGAAGGCTACATGGTCCATCTGTTCATTGCAGGCCTAGGGGCACAAGAGCATGCAGAGACTCCTTCGCTGGTTCAGAGCAGGGACCTTGGTCTCAGGACTGCTCCTAGGGACCCCTTGCATACAGAAACCTTGAAGGTCTGAAAGGAAAGTTGCTTGACAGAGGTAGAGAAAAGGAGGGTCTGGGAACCTCTTAAGACACACACACATGCACGCACGCACTGGACACCTGTGGCTCATACCTGTAATCCCAGCTACGTGGGAGGCTCACATTGTGAGGATTGTGGTTCCAGGTCAGCCTCAGTGGAAAAAGTTCAAAGGAAACTAGCTCAACAGAAAAAGCTATGCTCGGTACGTACATGCCCGTTATCTCAGCTGTGGAGGAAAAGCTTAAAATAAGAGGGTCACTCTCCAGGCTGGCCTGGGCAAAAAACATGACCCCATCTAAAAAATAACCAGAGCAAAGGGCTGCAAGGAGCATGTCTCTCTAAAAAAAGTTCAGGGCCTTGAGTTCAAATTCTAGTACTGCCAGAAGAAAGAGACACGAAGTCAGAGACAGAAAGCAATACAGGAGGAGAGAGGGGAGCAGAAAAGCAGATTGTCTTACAGTAGTGCCTTTATTTTTATTTAAAAAAGCATTGACAATTGGGTCCCAGTGGCCCATGTTTGTATCTTAGCTACTCAGGAGGTTGAGATCTTCAGGTTCAAAGCCAGCCAGAATCTGGCTGTAGGGGACTGTTAACTCCAGTTAGCCAGCAAAAAGCCAGAAGTGAAGATGAGGCTCAAATGATAGAGTACAAGCCTTGAGCAAAAACGCGCAGGGACAGCACCCAGGCTCTGGGTTTAAGCCCCAGGAATGTTGAATAGGCATACAGGAGCAGGTAGCAACAGATGCGTCTGTTTCCATGCTTAGGATATTCTGTGCATTCTGATCTGGGCCAAAGAACATGATCTGGGCCATGTGACTGTAGCTCACACCTGTAGCTCACACCTATAGCTTAGAAGCCTGCCCAGGTAGAAGAGTCGTGAGAGGCTTTATCTTCTTCAGTTAATCAGCAAAGAGTTGGAAGTGGAGTTTGTGGCTTGGTAGTAGAGCACTAGCCTTGAGTGAACAAGCTGAAGGACAGTGCCAAGGTTATGAGTTCAACCCTAGGACTGGCCCAAAAGAAAAAAAAAAAGAAGATAGAAGGAGAATGTGTAAAGGATGACTCACACAGCAAATACCACAAGCTGCCGTACCCTGCCTCCTGTGAGATGTGAATAGAGAAATACAGTCTGTTCTAAAATGGGCTTAACAGTATAGTAAATATCAGGGATGGGTTCTCAGAGTCAGGATAAAGCACTGGCTGGCGCATGTGCCATTAGGAGTCAGGTGAGATGAGAACATAATTTTGCTCAGAAAACTTTGCAGACACTGGGCTAGAGCAGGCCAGTTAGAAAGAGCCAGGTTCAAATGTCACTACTGGCACACACACACAAATGTACACATACATATGCATGCATGCACACACAGTGGCTGGGAGCTGGTCCATGCTGAATGTGTTCTTTGATTTGCTTACTTTTGGGTTCCGAGAAGGGTTTTCCATTCTTGACCTCCTCCTGATGGGCTGTTCTTAAATAACATCCTGTCACTGCTATTGGGACACAGCTGCCAACAGGCCTTCAGCTCTCATCAGCCCTGGGAAGGCCTGGTGACACACGCTTCTGCCTCTGTGAGTTTGCCCATTGCATAACCTCTTTATTTCTGAGACACTAGGCAGGGAAGGGTGGTGCCCAGGAAGTGGTGCCTCCCAGGGCCTGATGGCATTGGAAGAGTTACCTGGGGGACCAGCAAGACACAATTGGATGGCGGTATCCTCACCGGACGTTCACCTGTGCCATTT